GGCCGGCCGGTGATCACTGAACCCGTGCAGCGGCCAGCGTTCTGAGTTCTGCTCACAGTTAGGGTTGAACCACACTAACGGGACTCCGTATGTATGGTACATACCTACCTAGTATACGAATTTGTTTGACTTGTGGTTTCAAGCGGATGGCCTTGGCGTCACCATTTCTGGTGTCTTGGTCCGCCCGCCCTCTTCGCGATGGCATCGATGCCCCCGGCCGAAAGAACTGGATCTGTCGACTCATGTTGGGCGATATAGATGAGACATGCAACCCATGTCCCGGGGGCAGCACTGGTGTCCACCACCACCTCCGTATCCCGGCAGATCGTTTCTCTCGTGCCCACCGACCCGTACGGCTTCTGGACGGCCTTAACGGGATTGGGCTCTGGCGCCCTCGTCAGGTCTGGGCTGGGTGCGTGACCAACCTTGCAGCGTGCGGTGCGGCTTGCATCCGCGAGACGCACCTCGATCCCCAACCAGCAGGCCCCCTTCTGCTCCATTTCCGAGCCAGTGGCATCGTCTGGTTGGTGTTCCCAACTGCACTTACGTGCATCGATAATCGTATACATGGCCGCAGACGGGAGAGGGGCGAAGAGAGAGAGCGAGATTCGCTCAAGATGGACATGGGGGGTTTCCATCATCCATCTCGCGATTTCGGGTGCATGGGGGGAGAGGCCAGAGAGGGGCTGCTCATTCGAATTGTGGCGTCTGCGTCTATCTTGGGGTTGCACTTTGACCTCTTTTTTTTCACTATTTTTTTTCTGCTTACATTGGATACTAGTATCTCCTCTTTCTCACTCGTTCTCGCGTGAATAACCCCGGCATAGGGGGGCTGACTTATTCATCCTATACGTGGTACAATTTTCCCACATCCCGGGTCTAACCTCAATCCGTGCGGCCACGTGGAAATGGTAGTGCGAAAATGCAGCCTCAATGGACCGTGGACGGAACCCGCGAACGCGTTCTTGTTCCAGAAAACCCGCCTCGGCTTTGGTTCATCAGCCTACAGTCCTACACTAACTTGTAGTAAGGATGCTGCTGGCGGGTACCAGCGTCGCAATGTTGCAACCGTCACGGTCGCGCAAGGCGTAACAACCATACCATACTGGCATACCATCCCATCCCCATCCCATCCGTCGCATGCGTTATCCGACGCCGTCTCGTTCGTCAATCGTCGCTTCTTTCTCGCGCAGCCGCTGCTGGCCTTACGACGCCACGCCGTCCGGCGGCTGTCAGTTGTCCGGCGTGCGTGCCGTCCCATGATCCCACGCTTTCTTTTTTGACACTTTTGATGTGACCATTAAGCAAGATAAATACGGACAGGGAACCAGGGGACGGGAGTTCCGACAAAACCGCGCCAATGAGTCGACGGGGCCAATCAGAAACCGCGCCCTCGCCGAACTGTTCTTTTCTTGTTCGATCAGCAAGATTATGTCCAAAGTCGGCCGACCGTTGGTTGACGTGTGTCGCAGCGACTCCAAAGAGGGCCAAGACCGAGAGTTGTTCCTTGGGGGCCTTGGTCCTTGGGTGTCTCTTGTTGGCTTCCCGCTCATGTATGCGCGTGCGTGCGTGCGTGGACGTGGTAGAGGCCCATGATTCGGCCGAATGTTCCAACAATGATTCAATGAGCGCCGTCTGTCACAAGCAAGGCGGGGGGTCGGACAATTATTCGAGGTGACATGTGTCTGCGGTGGACCGCAGTCTCAGGATGCTGGAGCTGGAGGAAACGTTCGGGAGTTTTTCGTACGTTTTCTTCCTTCTGGCAGCTGCTTATTCCTTTTTCGCCTTGGTTTCTACGCCCGCCTTCCTTGGCGATTGGTTGTGTTTCTCGCGATGATTGGAGTTGGAGGGGAGAGGATCCGGCAATGGTCCTGGCACCCCGATCGGGGCCCCGAACGAGTCCGCGCGCCGTAACAATTTTCATATAACTTCAATATCGCCGCCTGCCGTCGAAAGCGGGCCTCACCGCAGATGCGGGAGGGCTCGGCCATTCCCAGGTGATCTTGGCGGCTCCGCGTATGAGTCGTATTAGGGGTCACGTCGTCGCAAGAAAAACAGGAGGCTCCTCCCTAAGAGAAAGCGAGCAGAGGTTGCAACATTGATGGGTCGAACTCTCAACAGCAAACGTCGCGTGGAAGCCACGGAAGCAACCCGACTTTTCCACGATCCATAACCCAGAAAAGCAAAACACATACGATCGAAGTTTTTCAGTTGTCGCGGAGATCGAGGACTGCGAGGAGGAGCCCACGAACTGGATCCCTCCCAAGTTCCAACAGGGCCCGGCACCGGTGCACCACCACGTGTGGGAGAAACCCGCCCAGCCCTTAAGCGGAATAGCCGGTGGGGATCCCTTTTGGGCTGCGAATGGAAAAACCGGTCCACGATGTTTCGGTTTTGCGAGATTCCAGGAGTATGGATTCCGGTACGGAGATTGATGGGCACTGCGGGACGTCCCAGCCAGCCCAACGAGCCCAGCAACACTGGCCGCCGCTCTGCCGCTCTGACGCCACGCGAAAGAGGAGGACTGCCTACGACGCAAATTACGCCTATAATTGACCATATAACACAGCCCTTTTTCACTGGATTTTTGCGCCCTCTCGTTGCCTCCGGCACCGAGCTACCGAGGTCGTACGGGCGGACTGCGACCGTTCAATCACCCCCAAACGATAGGCGAGAATGGCTCGTCACCTTGTGACGCAACGCCCCAACCACGTCGTTCCTTTTTGCTGCCGTTTTTTGCGCTCCGCGCCGGAGATGCCTGCCCGAAAGACGCGAGGTCTCCGACATGGACACACAAGGCGCAACTGCGCTCGCGTGTGCGTGTGCCTGTCGTCGGCCGAGCCTCCTGGGTGCGTGAGGTGTTTTTAGTGCAAGCTGACAAGTGATGAAAAATGTGACCCGGCCTGCCTTGGCTCCAACGGGTTCTAGCAGCGCACCCGAACTTGGGGAATGAGCTTATGCCTCCTAGTGCGCGTTCTTGGCCCCCTTTCCCGGGGAAACTAACGGGGTTCCTCTCCGATCAAGGAAAGGAGCGGCGGCGCCATCCAGCCACTGTGGCTTCATTGAAGACAGCGGTCTGTTTTTTTTCGAACTGACTGGGGGGACTTTTGCCAAGGCCCGTTTCTCGTCTCCGAGGGACGTTGAAGGTTTGTCACATGGAGGTGGCGCTGTTTGGCGGGTTTCTTCTAGAACCATTTTGCTACCTTAACTCCACCTCTCATGCCCCCTGAGCCATAATTACTGTTCTGGCCACGGAGGCCTTCGTCTTCAATGTCGCACAGAACTAAAGCTGAAGAGCGTGGCGCCCGGCAGTTAGAGCCAACGTTCATATCGGGACGCAAGATTGAGAGGAGGGTGTGCGTGTGTGCGTGTGCGCTGTCAAAAGAAGCAAAGATGCATTGCCACTTCATGTGCCGATGCAGAATCCCGATTAATCAGGATTGCTAAGGCCTCCAGCCAGCTTGCGGTTTGCATTGACGTCGTCACGCGGGTCGATATGGGCATCAAAGTAGGTTCAATGATGTGCAAATTGGATGGGGCCCGCGCAAGTTATCCAGCTTCTTGGGGGAGCCAACCTGGCGGCAAACACTCTTCCGCCAATGGGGACGCCGAAGGCCGAGCGGAGTAATAGCCCAGCCGCGTTATCATGGAAAATCAGTGGCCGGGGGGTGGTATATGTGATGGGTGGGTGGTGTGACGGAACGGGGGAGCCCGCTTTGCGGGGTTTATCTGAGCGATGAACTTGATGGAGGCTGAAATCTGACAACATCGTGGCAACGGGTGGTGACTGCAATCGCTCACGAGACCGATCAGTTCATACTTTAATCCGTGAATCAAGAGAGGGAGAAATGATCTTACGAGCAAAGTAGGTGTCGATGTCACATTTCAGTCACATAAGCTGCAAAGAATCAAGATCTCCAGGCATGCCTCAGCAATTACTCAGGAGCCCTCTTTGGGTCATAACACTTAATAGTACTTGTCTTTAAGCCGCGATTCCGCTTCATGATGCGTCTTTTTTCTGAAAGGGAACTCTTGCGAGCACGATAGCCGCATCAATATCATCATGCCAATGGCAGTGAATCACCGCTACCTATGCGACATGGTTTATTGATACAGAGGATTACAGTTACAAGCTTCTCTGAATCATTTAATTTAGTTTAGACGGTGGTGACATTTTTTCCGTAGCCGTAGGAAATCCACAAAGAGTACAATAAACTGTACAAATTGGCATGAACCAAGAACAGCCGGTGACATGACTAGTTCAGAACCTGGCCCAGAAGAAACGCCGAACGCAAGAAAGACTGCTGAAAGCACCATTCCAAGGACAAATGTGATGTCGACGGTTATCCGTAACGGACGGGAGGAGATATTGTTTATCCTCCAGCGAATGTGTAAGTAGGGTTGAATAAGAAACGGCAAGTAAGCGACAGTCTTTGCAGCAGCAACTAAGTGGTTTGTGGGCGAGTATTCCCCGAAGAATGAGAATTTCAGCACCGTTGATCGAGTTGCAGGAAGAAGTTGCAGGATGACAAAGATAAATGGCCCAGCTATCACCAAAATCAGAGAAGGTGTCCAGACTTTCTCATAGGCAGTAGAACTCTCGGCGAGCCGGCTTGTGATCTCGGCTTCGAGACCCGAGTGCACATAAACCGCACCAATAAGTCCATTACGCTCATTGGGCTGTTCTTCGGAGTTTGCTTCGCCGGAAATATCTTGAATTTAGTCATATCAGTCTATTTTATTGGCCGTAGCGTTGCCGCGTTGTCCATTTGTTGCAATTATACGCACCTGTTCTCGAAGACATACTTGTGCCTTGATTTTGATAGTATGGACGCAACACCTGAAGTCGTGTTTCTCTCGAAGGTTGTGTTTCAGACGAATGATCTTCATTTTCAGGAATCGCCTCACTTTCTGTCACGGATGTGGTTGACGGTTCAATAGTCACTGGTGTATGATAAATAACTGGCCGAGAATATGTAGGAAGTGAAAGATTGGCTTGACTAACATGGGATTGAGGGGATAGTTAAAGGACTTGTCTGTGTCCCAATATCCTTCCGGTCGATTTCTGCAAATACGGATAAGTAGTTGAATTTTGATACTCTCGTGTCAAGTGTTTGATTGTGCTTACCAGTTGCACAAGATTTGTATAGCAATTCCAAGATTGGAAATAGAGACGATGATAACAATGCTAGAGAAATAATTTGGCCAAACGTCCAATCATTTTCTGCAACTAAGGTTTCAGAGTCTACCAGATTCTTCATTGATGTTATGCTCAGAGTGCCCCAAATAGCCGACAAAAGGACGGAAAAGACCTACGATCCGTTATCAGCGTCAGTACGATGAACGTCAAGAGTGAAGATGAGCATACCTCAGCGAACATTGAAGTATAAAGATGTAATAATACCCGAAAGGTGCAGTATACAGATGCCTGCACAGGGAGAATGACTAGAGCAGGGACGATGATCCATGCATTCTGTCTGTGGTTGACAAATCTTGCACATTTTTGATTCCAAGTCTTGTATAATTGATCAAGTCCGGTTTGAATGCGCTGGGATATGAGATTGCTGGACCCTTCAAAAGTCTTTGCGGCTCTGATTACATAGCCGTAGACCAACAGAAGAAGGGACGAGATCATCGAAACGTATGCGTCACTTGATCTTCTCATACCTCCCTTGAAGAAGCACACAGCTGGTGATTCGTAAAGAATCGCCACCTCGACCTCAGACATTGACTCGCTGTGTGTGACGTCTTTCAGTATTCGTAAATATCTGATCTTGTAGAGATTGATCGTGTCCGAAGAAATCTCATGTTTCAAGATGCTGATCCCTGATATGGTGCAGTTCTTTGGACCAATCGTGCCGTTTCTCAATAATTCTGCATCCAGGTTTGTTAAGTTGTATTGGACCTTGGGCTGGTGGTTGAGCCACTTTATAGCGTAGTAAGGGTTCTTGTTGTCATTTTCGCAGTCTTGAGGGTATTCAAATTGACCCAGGTCAATAATATGAGAATACCCAATTTGGTCTACATCATTGCTGGGTTGCCGGTAGTAGAAGGACGAGGGATCGTTATCAAGCTGACTGCCGAGGAAGTCGAAGTGCCCTGTCGGTAGGAATCCGACGAAAAGAAGAACCAGAAGAATCAGCATCAGAGTCAGCCGCCACAGACGTCTGCTTGAGTGCTTTGCTAGGTAACTTCGTAGAAATGTGAGCGCTGACAAGTGGGTTACGCTCGAAAACCAAGCGAGAGACACCACCATTTTCCAATGATATGCGCTCAAGCCTCGCTCGTGTTTCAAGGACATGTAGCCGCTCATAAGAATGGACATGCCTGTGATCAATTGGGCATCCGCGAGGGCAAGAATGCACTTGAATATGTAAGCTTGGTAGGATCTGAGTTACACCAAACGCAAGTGCTAACCTTATGGAAGGCATCTTCAGCTAGACTTCCTCTGAAGTCTTTAAGAACCCTTAAGTACTTAGTGTATTTTGCAATCAGTACGTCGAGCGGGATTGGACTATAAGGAGTTGTAGTAGACCTGATCCTTTGAAAAGGGTCTACATCTGGATCGAATGCAAACACGTAGTACCCGACTAGGACCAGGATGGTCAGCCAAGCGCTGATGACAAAAGACAGTACGACCTACGGTATAATCAGTTTCAAGAATCTACATGCCTCACATCATGGCTGGATAAATCACCCCTAATCCTGCGATGTCTCCGTACGGCTCGAGAGACTCGGGGATCTGACTGCATGCGTTGTATGAGAAGCTCATCGAGGCGGTCTGCTAGCTGATTCTTCGTAAGTATGAAGTAGATAAGTAGCTTGAGAGGCTATGCTTTGCAAGAATTAGCAGCAGAGGGGGTTCAAAAAGATGGCTCGCATCAGGCTGTGACGCCTCGGTGCCACACGCGGTAAGCTGCATGACTACGTCATATGCCAAACAGATGGCGTTGACAATAAGCTGAGCATGTCCATATCGCTTCGTTGACTGCACAGCTTCCATACCCGCCCTCCAAAACCATTGCCTGTCGCCGAACGCATGCTAGGAGGCGGGCATTGCATTTCATGAGATGCCCTAATCACCTTTTTCCGTCTCACTAGCACAAATTGTGCATTCAAAAATGGAAGAAAATAATCGTCGATGAGAAGATGTATTCTCGAGTAGTGAGGCACGAGATGTACGATTCTCCCTTCTTAGTGTGGACATAAATCGCGATCACTTTTCATTTGCAGATGGTACCTTGACTAAGATATCTGTAGAGCACTGAGTCACCTGAGTTCTTGTGCAAGGGTTGCCTCCATAACTCCTATGGACTCCTTTGAGGTCTCAACGAATCAACGCTGCTACGTGTGCCCATTAACTGAAGTCTGTCGATCGTGACGTTTCGCTCAATGTAGTTAATAGTTCACCGCTATGCGTTGAAAGAGGACGAATTCGAAGAAAATAGAGAAAGCAGAGAAAGCTCTTCTGATGGCAGCTTATTCGCTAAAGATCAAGGGATGCAAGCTGTCCAGTCCCTTGTATGAAGCACGGAGGGCTTAAGTTCGCCTGATTGCCAAACTTCATTTTCAGATCAGGATTCAAATAGTGTCGTACAGCACATAATGATGCATGATCTACGTTAGCTGGGTAACTCAACTTCTACGTGGCTGACAAAGTTCATATCGAGCGGCAGCTAGTAATTAGGCGCCGATGAAGTCTGTACCTGGGAGTACTTTAAGATCATTCCTATCTGGGTTCGCAAGATCACCGAAAGCAAAAATAACTAAAGCAAGTCTTCTGTCTCTAGCGAGTTAAGTGGGGAAATAAAAACTTCTGCGTGAGTCGTGTGATAGTTTATAATATCCAGTATTTAGCAAGCGACTAAGTTTAAGAGGGCTGAGGAATTTATTACTAACAGTTGCAGCACTGGGCTTCCGAACACAATTCACACCTCCAACCCGTCACCAGTTTTTATGCAGTCGGTTGATAACCATGCCGCACATTTTACAAGATATTGCTGAAACCTGACTTGCTTGCCACCCTGACCTCGATCAGTTGGGCCAGACTTCCTATTTTCACTATTAGAGATCCCTCGAGGACGTATTAGGAGGTGGACATAAGGTGCGACTGGAGATCCTAGCCACAGAGGTCCTTGGGAAATGTGATATCGAAGCTAGCTGTCAAGCCAAGAGATAAACGATAAAGCTGTTACCATAACAGTCGGAAGCAGATTGCGTAACTTACTTTCCTGCGTAAACATGAAGCATCATTTTAAATGCACGCGCAACGGTGAGTATTCAAACCGCAAGGCCTTTTGAATTGTAGATGACGAAATGTAGATACCTAAGTTAACTGGGGATAGTATCAATGTAAAGTGTCAGTTTAGAAGCTTCGGCGAGGTCATGATCAACAATGTAGCTCCCAGTTTAAGGGACGGGCCGGACGCATCGCAGTGTCGGTAGCCCAGCGCGGCCACGAAAACTTCCGTCGTTTTCTACCTTCTTTAAACTGTTCATACATGTTTTCGCACAGTAGGTCGTCATCTGCAAGTGAGCCTTTACACTTCTCTTGGCACTAACTTGTTCTGATGTCTAGAGATACTGAACGGGTACTGGAATCGAGAGTCAATCAAGTGGCAATACGTTAAATATCTAAGAGGTGTTGCAACCGTTTTCCATCATTATTTGCATGATGAGGATGTAGGGCAAGTTCCCTTCACGAGACACTGAGGATCCAAGTACACAATGGGCATATCTGACAAGATTTATCATCTGTTCTGATCCAAGGAAATCCAGAGCTGTCGCTCATTGTTGTGAACCGGGCTAAGTACCCAATTTTATGTAGTCGGTGCATTTCTGACCGAGGGTTCCTTCATCTAACCTAAACTTCGGGAAAATGAAAATTTAATGAGTAGAGAGGAGGCAACCGATCCTTCACGGCGGTATGACTACCACAGTCCTCTATATCTCAAAAAGTTGTACTGAACTCATTAAATTACAGATAATAATCAACACTTTTCGACCACATATTACCAAGGCGAAGTCGCCGGTAGTTTGTGAGTCGCTCTCAATATCTCATGCACGCTTGAAGTCAAAGTGAGTACGGTGAAGTCTACTTTGACAATTATAGGAGAGGTCTAATCAATCAAGCAGCATCTTGATGCGCCGAAGAGAGCTTATCGTCTAGTGCACAACGAGCTGCTTGAAATGCATCTGAGAAATCATTGCTCATCGAGCCAATGACCAAGGCGGCTTGACTGCACTCAGGTCCGAGGCGCACAGCCATACACAATTCTGCTAGCACCAACTCATTTCACCAAGTTTCTTATGAATGCAGCGTCAATATCAGCCCAAGAATGGGTTGCTGGGGTCATCCTATGTCTCAAGAAGATTGAGCTGAGCTTGACCTCGCTGAAAAGCGAGCTACAATCCTGAGTCGCACAGGAAGAGGTTAAGAGGGAGGGACAACGCAGAGGTAGGGGCCAAATATCTACACATTACGCCAAGACCTTAGAATACTCAGCAGATGCTGCGGCTACTCAGGTTGACTGGACATGGTTTTCCCAGTCTCATCGAGATGCAGCAAAATTGATGTGGGCATTGTTCATCGCGTCTCATCGGCTTTGCTTGGTTGCCGAGACACGCTGACAAAGTCTCGAGGGTACCGACAGTAATGTAGAGGATTGGATCCGTTCACCTTGGCAATTTATAAGTAAGTTGTATGCAGGCAACTTCGAGCAATGCCGGATCCCAGAGTGAGGTCGTTATGGCTCATATTATGATCATTGCTGCCGCCATCGACCAGCTAGGCGTCTTCCGTAGCACACAGAGTGAAGTGCCTCGACCTGACTGATCATGACAAAACAAACTCCAACACTGTCAAAAGACATATTCCCTGAAGTTTCGACATTGCATGACCTCTAGATCTTGATAAGGTGGACATCGGCCGTGAACGAGTCATCTGCTGCTCCGTGCCCGCGCGGCATGTGAATTTTGTCCCTTTATCCCGGACAAAAACGATTACGTGCAGGCGCTTCAAAAGCAATGCGTGATCGGCGTGCCAAGCCTAACGGTGCCACTTGCTCACCAATAGCAAGATCTCTATACGCCAGTGGATACCCCATCCCAACGTGGACTGCCGGGATGAAGCTGATGGTGTAACGAGAGTGCGAGGCCTACGCGCCAGTCGTTTTTTTCTGGTTTCAAGGAAATTGAGGACCAGTTCCCATCAATTTGACGGGTCTCAGGGGCGGACGGGTCGAGAAAAATCAAGACATGAGATGAGGAGTCGTCCAAAAAAATTTTCACTGGCACAATGATTGGATTTGCGAGCTGAATTCCTTTGTGCCTTTGAAGCTCTGCTGTCTCTGCAAAACAAGGTTCGAACTTTATCTGCAGAATTGAGTTCGAGTTGTCCAAACATCTGCCCGAGCTTCATTTAACTCTGCGCGCAACACGTGGGCTGCGCGGGCTTGGCGTTCGATTCAGATCCGCGGGAAATCGGGACAATTACCGGGATGCCAAGACCACCATTCAATATCAGCACTGCTTCAGATCCCGATGGTTTCACGATAGCCACAACAGAATGGTGTTGACTCAGAGCATATCAATTGATGCATCTAAGACTAATATATACACTGACGATGCTTTGTGAAACTGGTTGCCTCCAGCCGAAGCTCATTTCCAGGTCGAAAAGGCGCCTAGGAAAGATCGTCGAGGCGAACTGATGTACAGTGAATATTGAAAAAAACCATCCGCATGATCGCGCAAGGGCAATGTCATGAGCGAGACGTGAGAAGCATTCCCTCCATGGAGCTCAAATCCCCTTCTAGGGTGGCAATTCGACAGGCCTGCCGTCTGTCTTTGCGGTGAACTTCACTCCCACACTACGCACCCGTGCGTTGAAGATGTCGAGAAACCATTTAGTCGACGATGAAGAGGTCGCGGGGGTGGCTGCGCTTCTTGGAGGAGTAGACAGCGGGACCCGGGATGGGGTAGCTGGTGGGGTTGTTGTAGACTGCGTGAATGATTAGCATGTTGTTGATGAAGAATGCGCAGGAATAACTTACTGTCGAAGATGACACCGTCGTCCTTGGCGGTGTACAGGCTGGTGCCAGCAACACCAGTGGGGTTGGCAGAGCCACCGCCAGTGACCTCGAGGTTGATGCACTGGGGGTAGAACTGGGCGCCGTTCTCAGAGCCGGCAGAGTGAAGAGCCAGGATCTCGTGGCGGAGGACGTAGTTGCCAGCGGCGATGTCGCTGGGGATGTTGACGGTCCACTCGAGGTTGTTGGAGAGGAGCTCGTCAGCGGCCCAGGTGGAGCCGGACAGACCCTTCTCGGCGATCTTGAAGAACTTCAGGTCGGCCTTGGTGGCGGAGGTGCAGTCGCCGGAGCACTTGGCTAGGTAGTCCATGATGGGACCCTTGTGGGAGTCGGGCCAGGTGTTCCACTGGAAAGGAGAACGTTAGTTATAATCGGAGATAGGATCATGTCAGCGTGATAGCTTACCTTGAGGGTGACGGTAGAACCGGCAGCAACAGAGATGGAGGAGGTACCGGGGGTAGCACCGCGGTGGCAGATGATGTCGGCGTCGCCAGTGGCGTCAGGGGCGACGAAGCCGAGGTCAGTGTTGGTGGCGGCCCATCCAGGGGTGGTGGGCTTGGTGCTCGCGTAGGGGTAGCTGGAAGGGTTGAGACCGTCGACGGACTTGCCACCAGCGGTGATCTTCTCGACGAAGCCGTGAGCAGAGACGACAGAGGCGCCGAAGAGAGCGGTAAGGAAGGCCTTGGAGTACATCTTGATGGTTGTTTGGGTTCGTGTGGAAACGGGTGTTTGTGGGTAGTGAAGAGAACGGATGAAAAGCTCACAGAGCAAAGAGTGAATTGGTTCAAAGAAGGAAGGGTATGAGCTGGAGAGCAATGCTGGTGAAGTGAAGGACGAAGTGGGATGCTTGGAGAATGAGAAACCCGAATACCAGCGGACTGGACGAGTTCTCTTATACTCAGATCAACCGCTCGCCCAGACACGGGTTCAGACGTTGGGCTTTCCACATCGTGGAGTCAAGGACCGCAATCCCGTCTCCATCTCTCCTGAGTCCCGACTCCTGAGCTCCAGGCACGACCATCTCGCCCAAACCAGACTATCGCCCGTAAAAGGAAGTTGAGGTCTTGGCGGACGCGAGGTCGGAGTGCCTCCGTCCGCAGGCGTTTGCTCGGCCCCCAGTAGAGCACCGACAGACATTGGACGGACGACAAGGGCGGAGCGCCGGGGCTGGCCACCTGGACCACAAAACAATCTATTTCGCACGGGGGAAGTGGAGTGAAAAGTCTCGGCGCGATCGGCGGTCGGGGCCGGGGTTGTGGTTGGGCCATTCCCCGGGAGCGCTGCGCGGACAGCCACGTCTTGTGGGAGCAGTGTCGGCCATGGATGGTCAGAGCCTGGGCCATTGTGGCAGACGCGAATGGCACTCACTGAATGCATCCCGGGTGGTGCCAGCATGAGACCAAGACGGCAGTCGGGATGGTCTACCGGCCGCCCGCATGGTCAACCCCTTGACAACTAACGTTGACCGTTGGTTGACGCCATGTTCCGGCGGCGGCCCCGACCCAGCGGCAATCGAAACTTAAGGAGGCGCCGCATCTATACTTCCAAACCTTGGACTCATCTATTGAAGTCGCACTGCGTCGTAACGTGTCGTTGGCGGAAGGCATGAGGCTGACGGACGAATGCTCGCTACCACGCATTCATCGTCGCATTCACGATGAGACACGACGCTGAGTCCGCTGGACCGGCTCACACTCTGGCAGTTGGACTGTCGGAAGAGCGAAAACGACGGAAAATCCGGGGAGTGCCGAGGTGATCGGCATCCATCACTGCATGACGCATTGGACGGGACCAGGGCGGCAGGCCGAATCGAGGCATCTTCTCGCGGGACGATAACTCCGTCTGGCCCCTTTTGGTGAAGAACCTGGAGGGCCTGAAGACGGCTTGAACATGGTGATCGCGTCAAAGATTCGAATCTGTGGAAACCGCAATTTTCGAAGATGCTGGGCAGGCCTCCCGGGGTCCCATTTACGGCCGTGGCGTTCTGCCATTCGCATGGGACAACGTCAGCAGTTGACAACGACAACTCGACCCGAACGTGAGCCACCAAGCGACAGGACCTGAAACAGGATGTCTGCAGGCATTTCCTTGGTGGGTTGAGTCGAGCCGAGCAACGGGAGAGCAGAACTTTAATTAATGTTATTCTTAGTTTGTCAAATATAGGCCCTAGCTCCCTGGCTGCCACCTTTTTATCCCTGCAGAAGCCCACGTCGCGCAATCAATCCGGAAGCAAGCGAGTGGAGGGCCACCTCTCCCAGCCCCAATCCATATGAAAAGGGATGAAACAAAAGCGGCGAAAAGCAAACAGGATTTTTTTCGGTGCAATCTTGCCAGCACAGAGTTCATTCGATGCGTTATGCTTAAAAAAAAATTGGTCGTGGAGATTTTGTACAGAGGTAAATTTGAGCTCTGTTGTTGTTGCTTATCTCCTAAAGACGTCGCCACCGCCTCACGTCCCACTCAAACAGGACTGGCTGTGGCTGAAAAGAGGATTTTGAGATATGCACAATTGCTAAGCCACGACGGCATAGCGACTTATGAAAGTCGGGCGTCGCACCGGGGTTTGCTCAGCCGGAGAAGTGTCGTTTGATGTAGAAGTCAGCTTTCAGCCCTGGTGGGCAACCGTCCCATTGGTTGTGGAAACCCAACCTGCGCCTCGGGAAAAGGAAGAAGCGGAGCTATCACGAACGTAACACAGAATCTGGGCGATACACTTGAGTCTCACTTCGGCGGTGATTCCGTTCGCTTACGGCATAGGTTCTAGCCATCATCGAGCACCGTCGGATGGCCAGGCTTCAAGCAACAAGGTGACATTCAACCTCACTCCACGATCCACCCTCTGATGCAGGTTGCAACCTTCCTTCGCTGGCTCGTTTCTGGTTTCCAATATCGATGGTCGAGGCCGGCTTAGCTCTGCTGACCTTATTGTGGTGGGATGAGCCAAGCCAATGCCATGGCGAATTCAATTACCATGTGAGCTCGGGTGCAACACCAAACACGCAGTTTCTGAGGACGAGTCATTCCCAAAGTGCCAAGGGCAGGGGCCTGTCCCAATGCGACGGTGGAATGTCTTGATCGGGTGGAAAATAGGCAAGTCGTGCCAATGAACCACGGGTTCAGTATGTCACGATGAATAGGCGGAATGACTTTTGTCCATGGCAAGGATATCTGACAGACTTCATGTCAACGGCCGAATAGGCAAGGAGCAGTCGGGTTCCCGGGCTCGAATATAGCAGGGTTTTGCAACGCAAGGATTCTGGAACGTCCTTGATGTCACACTGGCTGGTTGTCAATAGAAGCACATGAATGACACAGGAAAACTCCCTGAAGGAAGCAAGGTCTGAGAGTGGCTTCTTTGAGACTATTTCTTAGCGAATCCACCACCACCACACTATGTCTGAATTGATGACAGGAAACTCGCGCGACTTTAGGGCAGCATTATGATTACACCTGTCAAGTTAACGCTGTCATCAGCTGCCAAGTTGGTTTGCCCCTGTGGTGGGATAAAGATCAAGGCGCTATTCATTGCTGCTGTCTCTTTAGCTTACAACATAGATCATTCCAGGTCTTGGCGGGGGACCATAGTCATCTTTGTGCTGACTTTTGTACCTGCTGAAAATGGGGTTGAGCCATCTCCATCAAGGTATTTCAAATTGCTTTCGACGAATCCGACCAGGTTGGGATGGTATACGCCATGACGATATTCGACAACTTCGTGAGGTTGGCAGAATTGATTGACAAGTTGAACGAGGAAGCAAAAAAAAAGCTCCTGGAGCGAGCGCGCGAGGGCTGACCGCGTAGTCGCGCGCAATGAAGGCCAGGCAGTGAGGTACAGTGTGACCGTATGAAGTTAGCAAATCAACTACCCAACCACCCCCACCTCACGCATAAAGCTCCTCTTTGCCTTGACGCTTCGAAGACCTAGCCGAGCAACTATCTTCAGCGGCTCTTTTGCAAAGAGTCGGGCTAACTTTGCAACCGCGTGATCCATCGCGTCACCTAATTTCTCCGCAAACAACTTTGATCGCCTCCGCCATATGCCCTCCTAGTACGTCTACGGTCATCGTCATCGATGGCAGCAGCATGTATATTCGCCTCGCGTGCGTCTCCGATTCGAGCCCCCGTCGACAACTTGGTTAGAAGAAGCTTCTGCGGGTGATATCTCCAGCTGGGCAAGAGCACGGAGAATTTTCTCCTCGGTTTCCCGTTTTCTGTCGGCATTGTGAACTCCGCCTGCCTTATCATCTTCCGCAAGTATCTTGAGAATGCGCCGCTCCGCCTCCCTCCTCGGGTCGCTCGCGTATGTGTGACCACAGTCATCTGTGTCATAATGCGTCCACGGGCGGTAAATCCTCGTGTCGGCGCCTCCACTGAGGCGGTGGAAGCAGAGGGCATGGAATATGAACTTCATGATTCCAACATCCGGCAGATCTGCCTTCTTGTCTGCCCAGATCGTTATGATCGTCCCGGAGTTGAGCGGCCGTCCTGAGTTGGACTGAAATTCATAGTTCTCGACCGACCATTCCTCCATCATCTCCCTCGGATCGGCTCCAAAGTCTTCGACCTTGTCCAATGGGCATCTGAGATTGGTCCTTGGTAGCCAGTGACAGCGTATCTCCAGACCGTATTGCCTCATCTCGTCGGGTTTCTTCTCTTCGTCTCGCGCCTGAATCCTGTTGGCATCAGCCTCAGCCTCGGCCTCGGCCTTTCTCTTCAAGTTGCTCTCCATGAGCCGTTTGGATTTTGGAACCGGACTCTCCATGGAGGCAACAAGGTTGACGTCACCTGTCTGCAACTCAGCATGTCCTTGGGTGCGGCTATCACCAGTGGCTGGTCCCGTAGGCATTTCTTGACCGTTGGACTCTCCGGGAGATGCGTTCAGCTTAGCTTTGGGTCGCGAAGTTTCCCCGACTGGCTCCATACCAAAGATTGCGTCGTTCATGTAGGTGTGCAGCTTATTAGTGAGAGTCACCATATTTCTCGGGGTATCAATAATGGTGCCGGGCCCGACAAGTTTGACCTCTAGGTCCCTGAAAGCCTGTGGGCCTATGAAGACTTTCATGCAAGTCCAAAGCTTTTGAATGGCTGTTGGGCGGTTGATGCCAAAGAAGGCGGCGAAGTGGCAGATCTGGATCTTATTGCATCCGGTTACGACGCACTTGTTGTCGTCGCGATCGCCAGCCTGCAATGATCGTTAGCCACGATTGCCATAGAACAAGGGCTGAAGAAGTTCCATACTCCCTTCGCTGCGCTTTCATTACGGGCGATGCTCTCCGGTTTGTCGCCAGCTTGATCTGCGCGACAAGTAGCTGCGATGTCATGAATCATTAGCACATGCTGTTCGTACGTGTGACACTCTGGCTTCTTGCTTTGCTTACCATAGCCCACGTATGCGTGTGCATTCAGAGCAGCTGACTTGAGATCGATGGCGATAGTCAGTCTGGCAGATAAAAGAGATTCGTCGTTGTTGTCTGCTCTGCCGAGGGTAGCATGAATGCTTTCAAGACGGCGTAATTCAGTTGTCCATAGCAGCGCCCAGAACCGGGCCTGCTGGAAAAGCGCCCGTTCTTTCTCATTCACAACCCAGAGACTCGTGTCCGTCAACAGAATGTGCTGAAGCTCGCTCACATAACGTCTTCGGATATCGATCTCATCCTCTTTCAGATAGCTGACATTTCGGCCCATGTCAACGTTGATATCCTCGGGAGCGAATTTTTGCAAGGTTTGCGTGAAGTCATGTGCCACCAAGTAATGCGACTGGCGAATGATCTATCTGGGAGGGTTTGGAGATTGGAACGTGGCTGGGAAAGCATGACGGACGCCCTTTCTTAAATGAGCAACTAAGAGTGGAAGGTACGTTTAGGGCATACGGGTGTTCCTTCCACGCATTGAATAAGCTTTTGTTTTTTTGAAGGACTGACCGACCTTGGTGGCAGATAGACAACGACTTGGATGGCTTTCCGTGAAAAAGAACAACCTAGAGAAAAAGAAGAAGAAAGAAAGTGACTCAGTGAGATGGGGGAAATCGTTCCCCATCTGCGGCGCAAGTGTGTCGGCGACGACAATGACAAGCGACAGCTGATTGTTGAGAGACTATATGTGTTCATTCAAAGAGAAGTTTTCGTTTGCGCGATGGAAAAAGGACTTTTGAGCGCCTAAGTCGGCCGTACCTTCCAGTAGTGAGTGAGTATTGAAGGGGAGAACTTGAGAGATGGGCGGTAAGTTGGGAACAGAAGGCTTTTCCAGCCTCATGTGTTTTGAGAAATGCCAAAGTTCACCTTTGCTACAAATGAGGTAAGAGCAACCTCATCTGTTAATTTTGTTCCTTCCCGCTAGGCTTGTGAGAAGCCCAAGCTGGTTGTATCCGGAAACTCACCTTTGTCTGCCCTCGCTCCCCACCTACCGCCGTTCCACCTAGGCTGCTTCAGTTGCCGTTGTGCGAACCCATTGAAGCATTTCTTATATCCTTCGGAAAGTTCTACTAAGCTCTCACTTCTCCCGCTTCCACAGTCTACAGGCAAGCCTTGTCTTCGCAAGCCAGCGGTGGCAACTCATCTCTTCTACCCTTACTTTGTCCCAGAACGAGCAGAAAATTGTATGTTACACCGCTATCTTTCCATTCCGATGAGACCGGCTGTTTTCACTGTGCTGGAGCGACTAACTTTCCTGCGGTCATTTACTCTGCGTCAACTTCGTCGTCGTCCGTGGTCTTCGCTCGTCGTTTGGCGACGCGACCATCGTCTTCGGCAGGAATTATCAAGTAATTATACAGGAGATACAGTCGCGTAGACGCAGGGAAATAAAGTGGCCTCTTTTGCTTTCTTCTTTTGATTCCTTTCTTGTTCTTGTTTTTCCCCTGTTTTGGAGACACAGTGGCCACCAAGAATTAACACTAACACTTTCTCCAGGCTAAAGTCACTATGGCCATGGGAAATCAAACCATGGCCTACCAGCCTGCAGGAAGGCTTAGGTTCGATGACCAGTACCCCTCAAGACCGCGACGACAGTTGGTTTGGGTCAGACATCCTACGCCCAAGAGAATGCAAACGAAGAAGCACCTGACGGATATGATTGACCCCGAGACGGGCGAACACCAGGCCTGGACTGACAACACATTGCCTGGTCAAGTGGAGATCTCGGAATGGGATATCAGCAAGCCTGATGCGGATATTTACCCCAAGGCAATTCAAGTCATGAGCGTCGGATACTACATCCCGAAAACCCACAAGCCGGAGCAAAACAACTTCACGTCCGACCGTATCATTCAAAGGACCCTCGCGGGACCTTGCTTCCGAGTTGGATTGCCTTTGGCTTCCGCGCCCAGAAGCGCTCCGACCACCAGCTCTAGCAGAGCTGCAAAGGCAGATAAGGTCTCAGGAAATCGCACGTATGCCCTGGTGTTGGTGGGCACAGGGGTCGATGGTGCCCCTCCTGTCGGTTATAATATTCCTGGTGGCAGATCACAGATTTTCTTTCACCCTGAGTGGCTTGAAGGCGTCAACTTGAGTAACGTATCAGACACAGTCAGCGATCACGCGATTCAGAACGCTTGGAATGTTGGCTATGCTGCCTTGACTGCCAAAATGCCCAAATCCATCAATGGCAATCTAACCAAGGAGACCGGTACCCACGGCAGCGGACAACAACAGGAGTCAGCAGCGTATGTCAGCAGCGACGATACCGACGACAGCAGTCATGATACCGATGACAGCGATGACAACGACGACGGTGGCGACAGCAGCGACGACAACGGCGACAGCAGCGGACGGCAGCGGACGATACCAGTGGTCGACAACGGCGATAGCAGCGACAGCAGCTGCAACAACGGCGAGACTGTTGCCACAATTTTGCTAACAGACGAGAGCGAGGCTCTTCACCAATTGGACAAGATGATGGCCCCTATCAACTCCGCCGAGACCCAGAAACAGAAGACTGCCGCTGCCGCAAGAGTGGCTCAACGGCTGGCGCGCATGGTAAATTCGACGTCGAGCCCTCTCCATCAGCGGTATCAGCCTATCATGGACCTCACGCGCGCTGAGACAATCATCTCCATGCCCCAGGCAGAGTCTGCTCTCTCCCAGACTCAGGTAAGGCTTTATTTCAAGCTTTAAAATGTTGTATTTACCAACTCAAATCTTCCAGACCATGTGGCCACGCACTTTCGAGCATCCCAAGGCCGCGACCCTCGACGCGAAGTTCATTCAGAAACTCTCTTTCATCTTATGCAGCCTCGAAAACGACGTTTCCATCGATCACAACGAGTTGGGAAACGTGCTTTGCGTCCTTGTGGAAATGCTACCGGCCGGAGACATGCCAACCAGCGAAGACGTCCAAAGAGCACAGGACTTGCTCCGCCGTCTTTACCTGAATAACAGACCCCCCAGGCAGCACCCGCTTATCGTCAACCTCGAAGTTGCAGCTAACAATGACAACAGCAGAAATAACGATGCGTTTGGTGCTCGCATGGACGAGGAGGAAGACATCTACAGCCCTTGATTGAGCTGCCTGGTGTGACTGGACAGGCGGGAGTTGCCAGCGCCAATCTTTGGATGGATTTGGTATGGACGTAACTGCATGACGGCTGTTTGGCCCACCCTCGACTTTTCGACGGAAGTTTTCCAGTGGGCTCATCTCACGGCATGATCGACAAGACGGCGGTTGCTCTATTCCTAGACCACGCAGGAAAGGGTTTCGTTGAGTCGAACATGACTTACGTCACAAGTGGTCAGGTTCATTAGTAGACAGTGCAATACAGAAGATCACATTCATGTCATACGCGGACTTTTTCCTCCGAATTTGATTTCTCAGTTCATATCCTGCTCTAATCCAATGTGAAGCGACTGAACCACATGGAAGAGACTGCATAATCTCAACACAGACGCACATAAGATTATCCAACCGCTATCCCCCATTTGCTGCATCCTAGCATATGCCAGTCCCTGAGTTTCTACTTGTCAAATAAGGCCCAAGCGCTAGTCAATTAGCATCCGGCGTAGATTGCTTGTTTCACAGGTTAGCATCATGTCAGGTGAAAAGCAAGAGTAGGACCCGGGGAAGTTTACATTGAGCGAAGAGGGCTGCAAAAAGTCATTAGCATAGAGTATACAGGGAGGGATTTGAGAGACTTACTGTAAGTGTCAGCATGGTTGAGGTTTTGCGAAGCGCTGAGAGAGCGAACGAAGTTGTATCCGTAACCGCCGTCTGTTGCGTTGGTCAGTTATTTAGATATTCTACCTTAGGTTCAAATACAAGGATGTAACGGTCCAAGTGGTAAACGACCTGACCCTTGACGAAATGAAAGGAGTGACGTACAGTCAGAAGTGCCTCGGATCTGGGTAAGGTGAGTCATCTCGTGGAGGCTGTCGGAGTTTACGTTAGCGATGTCCTTCGTTCGAAGGCAGGGGATTGATTACATGGTACTCTGCTGGTCTTGGGCATGACAAGTGCTAGATGCCGCGGTCATCGTAAAGAAGAGAGGGCAGTTAACCATGTAGCTTTGGGAGGGCCTAGGTTGATGGTCAGCATGTCCACCGGCGGGTCACGTAAACAAGACTAGACCAACAGAGTGTAGGCGATGACACCGTTTGAGCAAGCAGGGTAAACGTCAGTGCAGTATTGGCGGGAAACACCAGAGGTGGTGCTGCCACACTCGCTAGCGATTCTCGAGAAGACGGTGGCGACGGTGTTGCGAGTAGCGGTGCTAACGGCGTGTGCGTTAGCGATGGCTATGCTTCAAATGTTTAGAGAGAAACTCACGTGGAAGACTTGAAGTACTCAGTCATGCGAGCAGCAGGGCCAGAGGCAGCGGCCGAAGAGGCGGCGACAGCGAGGGAGCGACAACGGCTGATGGCGTTGACCTAGGAGAGACGATTTAGCGAGCTTCAATCAGAACACCCAGTGTGAGTCTAATTAATCAAAGAGAAAAAGTGAATGACAGGTATTTCTGCAATTATTTGATGGACGACAGCAGACAGGAGGTAGGTAGCATGTGTCCAACGCGAAGCCGGAGCGAGACGGAGATGACTCGGGTGAGACGGTGGGACCCACAGTAGCGGTGCGGCGGGTGCCGGTGCAGTCGGACTGAACGACCGTGCGCTTGGCCAAAAAGCGGGCGCGGACGGCAGCAGCCTCCTCGCCGTTGACAGCAGTGTGGACGCTGTTGCTGGAGAAGGGAATGGTGCCGGCCAGCTCGGTGGAGTCGGCCTCGGCGTAAGAGAAGGCACCGGAGCTGACGATGTCGACCTCGCCAGCGGTGCTGAGGTCATGAAGCTCGGCAGCATCGAACTCGACCTCGACGGACTCGCCGGCGCCGATGATCTGGAAAGCCTCCTCGGTCAAGCCGGAGGTGGCCATCAGGAGACGGACACCATCGAACTCAACCTTGTTGCCTGGGTGGTGAATGTTAGTACTCGGCTCCGTTCCGAGTGGGCACGAAAGAATTCCTTACCAGACGCGAAAACCTCGACCTTCTCGACGGGAGCAGTGTCAAGAATGGTGCCGGTCTTGAAGAGCTTGAGGGCCGAGTCACCAGTGTTGGTGAGGACGGCCTTGACACCGGAGTTGCCAACGGTCTCGAGCTTGACGTCGAGGGGAGAGGTGTCGCGCTTGGCCATGTCAACAGACACGGCGCTGGCGAGCGTGGCCAAGAGGGAGACTCCGAGAGAGAACTTCATGGTGAAGACAGGAACCAAGAGACAAGATCAGAGGCTGATGAGGTGTAGGTTGGTGTCTAGCAAAGAAAAAGCTGTTAACTTGCGGGCTCGATACCAGCCGCTTTATACTTATTACCCTCCTCTCAATCGATGCTGATGTTGACATATGCCTCACAAGCCCGGTAACAGACATGCATATTGAAGAGCCTTGATGCTTGAGCTAGCGAGCAAAAGGAAGACGAAGCGGCGCCCAGTCTGCCTAGACGGCCTTGAGATGAAAACATGGAAGGTACGTTGGACAGGGCAGACCGTTGCCAAGGGGTAGCTAATATCAAGACGGATGGTCGTTAAGGTTTGCTGCAGCTGCTGATCACGTTGGGACGACAAGATCTCAACCTTGCAGATAACACCTCGGGTACTGCCCATCACAGCCCCGCATGGAATGCCCCCGGAACCTCTGCCGAAGGGGTCATGATATCGTGGGCCGTTCTAAGGTAGTCACACGAACAGGACGAACAAATCTGGTATCTTGGTTAACATCACACAAACGTATTGACGATGTCGTCTTACCCGTGCTCAAGGAGACCTGTTGTACATTAGGCAAACAGCTCCTACCAAAAGAAAGCCTCAGTTATTGGGAAAGGGCATGAAATCGCCATGTCGCCACGATTTGGGGGCTTCGGGCGGCAGTGTTCAGGACCCTGTACGGGCCACGCCGCCGGAGAAGGATAGACTTTTGCGCTCAGTCGAGACCGCAGAGGCTAGGGGTTCATCACATTTCGGCAGTCCAGCCACGTCGCTACGACCCAATGGGAGTATCAAGCAAGTTTAACCGAACCTAGCGACCATTGATGCCGAGAATCGATGCATAGCATCACCTGCCAATGAGACATTGCCAATTGTTGGATGCCAAGGGGTTGCCAAGTGCACAAGACGGAGACTAGCTCAAGGATGGAAGGAGGTAAATAAGCATGAAACGCCTCTGGATTTCTCCAGCGTCAATGGAGTTTTCTTGGTTAACTTCGCGAAGAGGAGTGTCGGGTTGTTTGCATCTTGAGAAAGCATAGCTCGTAAAGTGGTCTGAGTGATAAGGCAAAGAGGGCATCGTGTGTCGTCGAAAGATAGGAAAGCTATGGTTAAGCGAGATCGCGTCAGCGTTGCATTGGGCCTGAGAGGTTGGTAGCCAAAATAGGGAACTGTGAGCCGAATGGCCAAGGTGGGAAAGGACTTAGCCGGAAAGGTATCAGCTTGTCTGCAGCAGTTGACCAGGGGCCTGATCCGGCGAAAGCCTCATGTTGTCACCGTTGATATTTCGGCCCAAGGCGAACACGATGCTATTTAGACCACCAAAGCTCGAGCAGCCCACAACGTTGATTTTCCACCACTCGAGCTGGAATGATAAAGCGACCTTCCTTCTTCAGCACGGCTATTGAGCAGCGAGAAAGCGGAGAGGCAGACAGAACAAGGCAAATTAGTCTCTCGGCATCGCAGTACGTATCCGATTAAGATAGTGCACCTCATTTCTTATTACCTCTTGGCAATAAATGCCTCCACACGGAACTCTCCTCTCCCCGCAGCAAGTTCCCTTGCCCAGACCGCCAAGCTCAACAACACCAAGACTTTCCAAGACTCTTGGATGCTTAACGCTTAGGCAAGACTTTTTATTGCCGTATTTCCGTACTCTTCGTGACGTTGAGACTCGCTCTTGGGCTTTGCGCATCGGCAAAAATATCAAAAGAAGCAGGTCTTTCTGGGCATTGTCTTGTGCTTCCAACAGCTTGGACTATTTTGATCGTGTGATGTGACGCGATATCGTGGTATGGTTTAATCCTCCCAATTGATGAACTGACTACTGAGATAAGTAAGCGCCGAAACCCCTCTCCATAGACATCGGCAGCTCTTGGGTTGCAAACTAGTATTTGTGTCAGCCACTTGCAGGAAATAGTGGGCACATTTTCTGGCTTAACTCAACGACCTTCCTAAATTGATCATCCTAGAATCTCTATAATCAACGAGGCCTGGAAGCAATTCATTATCGGTCGCTTCTGCGATGTCATGTTTGAGACGGATCCCATGATTAAATGTGCAGATACAAAGCCTTGACCGGAGGATTTCAGCCGAGCGTTAGGATCTCTAGATGGTTCAGAACTTATGAAGTACACGTCACGTTGGGAAGAAACACATGTATATGAATGTCCCAAAAGTGTTGCCTTGATCCGTGGGTGACTGGGAGCACGCCTGCTTAGCTACAAAATCATTTCACAGTATATAATATGCCATCTAAATCCGCAAGCCCATCATAACCCCAAACGCCTGCTGAACACGTTGTCCGCTTATCATCGTTGATACGTAAAACATCGCCCAGGTCAAATTTTTGTCCAAACTCTTCTTTACCCTATTTCGGGATTCTAAAAGGGTGCGCCTCTGTGTTGAACACAAAATCGTCCAAGCTTATCAGCTCGTGAGGAGAGAAAATGAGATAGAAATATTTTAAAGTCTCCGCAAGCCAGAAGCTCTAAAACTTTTATTAGCATCATATCAAAGAGTTCGAGGTTGCTACACAGCTTTGAAAGAATGAGACAAACCTCCATGGAATCTATCTTGTGAGTTTTGTCGGGAGGGACTGTCACATCAGCAATCGCTGAGTTGGCGTGTTCCGTTCCAGTCGCTTTGATGATTGACTGGAACATGCGCCATGCAATGTCTTGCAAGTCTTGCTTTCCGGTCATCCTGTAGAGGAGGAATACGCTCTCAATGGCCTCGGGTCGCAGAATGTACCTGGGATCGCGAGCATTCCTGAACCCCTTTTTCAGCCTCTTGTCGCCATCTTGCTCCCACTTCTTC